TATTCCATCTGGTGCACTTTTTCTTTTTTGATCACTCATGTGCAGCCCTGTTTATAGTTTAAAGTTTAAACTTTAAACTTTAAATAAGTTTCATTTGATTAAATTTTACATGAAAATTGAGACCTAAATGTGTGTCAGCAGGTTTTCATCAGAAGATGATCTTAGTGTCAAACTGTGGGCTGAAAGGTGGTGTGTGATCCACATTCCTTCAAGGAATGCTAGGCCTTGAATTGATTGTGTTTTTGTGTCTCTGACATCCAGTAAAACTAATTCTGTCCACTTCAATCATTTAGTTCAGATTTCAGTTTGAACCTTCAGCTCACAGATTTTTTTTATTCAGATTGGTGCACTGCAGATTGTCAAAGATCAGCTGTTCTTCTCTGGGCTCAGCTCTGAAGTCCAACCCCTCCCATCTGAAAGAACTGGACCTGAGTCAGAACAACCTTCAGGCTCCAGGTGTTCAGCAGCTGTTGGATCTTGTGAAGAGTCCAGACTACAAACTTCAGACTCTGAGGTCAGTAGATGGTCTGAGTGAATCCAGACTAGATCCGGACTGGATGAGCTCAAAGTGAGATCAGAATATTTCTGAAAGTTTGCATTAATAATCTTTATTTAGTGACTTTGTGACTTTTCTTAGTTGCAGCTGAAGTTGCAGCTTCAACATGTATCTGTTTGACTGCAGCTGTTCTGGAAACTTTTCTCCTAAATGAACGTTGATTTCTTTATTTTGGACCTGAAAATGTTTTCTTGCCCTCATAAAGCTGTGAAGTGTTGAATAAAGTGTGTCTTGTTTGTCCTGATGTGTTTTCATGCAGAAGACTTCTCTGATGTGAGGCTGCTTTCTTTGATTGGTCTGAACTCTTCATGTCGTCACATTTTCTTTGAATCCACATCAATCAGAAAGAAACAAAAGTTAGAAGTTCTTCTCCCAAATCCTCCACATGGTTCAGACACCATGAAGTTTGTGTTTAAAGGACAAGCTTGGAGGAAGGTTTCTGCTTCAGCTCTCTAAACGTGTCTCCCTCCTCTTCCTCTCTTCTTCCTCACATCACTGACACACAGAGTGTTCAGGGACAGCCTCCATGTTTGTTAGTCAGCTGAGATTTCACAGTTTGTGTCTTTAAATGGAGCTGCAGTTGACATGGAACAGCAGGAAATCCATCCTTCCAGTGTTTGTGCAGTAATGATGACTCAGCACTTTGTTTTCTCTGTGGACTTGAGTGAAGCTGCAGAGGAAACAGACTTGATGCTGAAAGTCTCTGCAGGCGTGTGAGCTTCGCTCCACAGCTGAAGTCCTGCTGCTCTTTCTACTGGATGATGCTGCAGACAGGAAGTCAGGCTGCAGACAGGAAGTCACCTGCAGACAGGAAGTCACCTACGGACAGGAAGTCACCTGCAGACAGGAAGTCACCTGCAGACAGGAAGTCACCTACAGGCAGGAAGTCAGACTGCAGACAGGAAGTCAGGCTGCAGACAGGAAGTCAGGCTGCAGACAGGAAGTCAGGCTGCAGACAGGAAGTCACCTGCAGACAGGAAGTCAGGCTGCAGACAGGAAGTCAGGCTGCAGACAGGAAGTCAGGCTGCAGACAGGAAGTCAGGCTGCAGACAGGAAGTAAGGCTGCAGACAGGAAGTAAGACTGCAGACAGGAAGTCAGACTGCAGACAGGAAGTCAGGCTGCAGACAGGAAGTCAGGCTGCAGACAGGAAGTCAGGCTGCAGACAGGAAGTCAGCTGCAGACAGGAAGTCAGCTGCAGACAGGAAGTCAGCTGCAGACAGGAAGTCAGCTGCAGACAGGAAGTAAGGCTGCAGACAGGAAG